TACCTAACTCACGTTAGTGAAAGTAAATGTGGATGGGCATATGGCTGACCAAATCATCCCTTCCTATGCCAAGGTCACACAAGTAGGTGAACTCTATGTTGTCAGATCCATGGATCAACATGTTTGAGACTGGAGCTTTACTACCGTACAACTCTCACTAATGTTTACAATATTTTCATAAACTTACATTACAAATACAATAAAAACAAAGAAATTCAACATAAAATGAATGAGAAAAATTCAATAATTAGTAAATAAATTGATCATTTATTTAATATTTAAAGGTAAAGGTATTTGAATCACTTTCCAGTAATTGTAGGGGATTTTTTTTTCTTGAATCAAATATTGTTCTTCATAAATTGCAGTCTTAGATGAAATCTTCATTATAACACACATTTTGATTTCATGTTTTGTTGATAGTCTCGGTTGAGGTTTCCTGGAACTTGTGTAGGCTTCTTTCTAGAGGTGTATATGCACTGATTTAATTCAGGTATTCTGAAAAATAGATGTACACACAATATTTCTACTCAGAATTTTCTCTAATTATAGTTTACATTTTTATACATACTCAAAATTTTAAATAAAATTGAAACTAAACTAGCCATTAAATCTATAACTACTTTAGGTCAATATATATTGAACATTAAGCCTAGACTCTATTACTAAATCTAAACTCTAGATCTAATAACTAGGGTACAAGGCCTACTAAATAAGTGGATATAGAATATAGATACTAGAGTAATAAGTGTATGTTACAATATTTACTGACACTAAGTCCTAGACAAAATTTCTAAATTATTGTGTAGATTGTTACTACAACTCACACTAGCAATGCTACAGTCACTCTCTATTACACTAGTGAACTCTACACAGTCTACATTTACAACTCTACACACCTTTTAGGCCTTGCCTTAGCTTAGACCCCACTAGACTAGACAGACTGGGATAGGTAGTACTAGACTAGAGTAACTAGATAGATTAGATAACTTACAACTAGCTCTCTACTCAAAAAACTGAAACACACACTAGAATCTAAAATCTAGATCTAGAATTCAATCTAGTGTAGTTAAGTGTAGTAATCTAGTAATCTAGATCTAGTAGATTCTAAATCTTATCACTGTACTGTCACTTTTTATTTAGAGGGATCAATATAGTTAATAAAGTAATAAAGTAGATATAGGCCTACAGATATTATATATTTAGGATCAGGTAGATTTAGATTTTAGATCTATTTTTTGTAATATTCTGTCATCGAACTAGACGGTCTAGATAAGTGTTTACTGTTTACCAAATCGTTCAGTAGGAGTAATGTCCCCTGGGGCTAGGCTTGCTTGGTCGTACATTAACTTTAAAAAATAATTTATTTACTTACCGCCACAAAACTTTTCTGTCAGAATTGAATGCAAATATATTACTTCCCAACCGTACGTACACAATAGACTTGAAATTTTGTATATTTGTTGCATATTGGGAGTTCATGATGAGTTTAAAATGTTGAAGCGAAGTCAAGAAACAAGCAGCCGCCATGTTTTTTTTTATCAATGGGAATCATGATCACAAAAATTCATTTAGTTTGGAAAAGTTAATCTCTCCCTGGCGGAAGTTTTTCCAAAACTTTGAATGGATTAATGAATTAATATTATTAACTATTTAAAAAATTATTTTCAATAGCTTATCTTTAATTAAAAAATTCAAAACACGTAAAAATCGATACTTAATATTTTGTTTTAATTTGTGACAGCTAAAATATAATTTTAGCGCTTGCCAATTAATGTATAAAATGTTTTGAAAAATAGCATGTTATATAGCAAAATATTACTGCAACACCCTATTATTACAACAATAATGTTCTTGTTGACGTCAGTGCACTTTGCATACACATTTTTTTACTTATAATAATACCCGTTCTAGCCAAAATTACATGGGGCATATGAGGTAGGGTTCACTAATTTGAACACTAGACTCGAGTTAGCAGTCTAGTTCTCTACCACTAGACAACGCCGTCACATATGTATAGATATACTGGGGAACATAAGGTGTTTAGCGAGTTTGTGTGGGAGTTGGTCTACTCAGTCTGTGTTATGTATGTGGGTACTGGACTGTGGATTTAAATGTATATGTAGGGTGGAGTGTTTTGTGCGGGGTGCAATGTTATGGCTCAGGTTGTTGGGTGCAGTAGCGTAGCTAGGATCATCTCATGGGGGGGGGGGGTTCAAATTTTCCCCAGCAAGTTATATATATCAGAGGCGTAGCGACCCTTCCGGCGCCCGGGGACAAATTTTCGATTTGTAAACACCAGCCTCCCCCCCCCCCCCCCCCCTCACATCAAAATTTCGATTTGCACCCACGTCAAACGTTATATATGTATATATATATATATATATATATATATATATATATATATATATATATATATATATATATATATATATATATATATATATATATAAAACGAGGGGTCTGTAGGGGGTGGTAACCCCTTCTAACCCCCCTGCCTATGCCACTGGTTGGGTGGCATTCCATGAGTGTAGTAGCATGTGGACCGGGGCTGCCAGGGATTTGGTGTGGGATGTCGTTCATTGTGTCGTACTGTGTGAGGTGTTGAGGATTACGATCTACTGCGGGTGTTGTCATTTTGTATGTGTGTGTTTTCTTTAATGTGATTAGGGCTGCTAAGTAGGTCACCAACCAGTTCTATGGCTCATGCAGGTTTTATTAAGCCGTAGTACTGGTTCGTGACCAACTTACCAGCCCTATTGTGTGGGATGAGTGACTAAATTGTGGATGGTGGGGTTAATGGGGTTAGCTAGTTACCGCTATTTTAACAAACCATATTAAATGTTACCATACCATTTGCTGGTTCTAATCTAAACCCTGAACAACGAGATAATAAACAAACAAAAATATGCAACATATTTTTTTTTAATTTATAAAAAGCGTGCTAATGACAAGCTTTTATGTAATAATGAATTTAAAAAATAAACGATTTTCTTGAAAAGATATAAAAATAAACTACTATTTAAATTAATATGAAGAAAAGCGTGGGTCACTATATTTTTTATTTGATACTTTTACTTATATGTAGGTAGAGATCCACGCTTTTCTTTATAGTTATTTAAATAGTTGTGCATTGTTATATGTTTTAAGAAAGAGAAAAAACGTGATGTGGTTAAGTGTCTCGAAGCAAACTTGACTTCATTAGTGGCCTGTTCTTTTAAGTACTGCCTTGATTAATACTCTTCACTCATTGTGCCTCAATCATAAAATTCTATTTTATGCAGCCCCCTGCTATTGATTTTACAATCTCCCAAGACATATTTATACCACCAGGTAAAATTTGCAAGGACTTATAGACTTTGTTAATGTGTTGATAAACAATGACTTTTTTTTCAAGACAAATTATAGAGTTCATAGGCTTTGGACATCTTGCTAATTTTTTCCAATACGGAACAAATTCTCGACAAGGGCTAAATACCAAGCGCGAGTAAAATTGTTCAATTTTTTTTTAGTTTGTTGATTATTCCCTATATTCCTATATTCTTAGACTCGTGACCTTGTTTTATAAAAGTGAGTTATTTAAATGTAAACAATGCACATATCGGGACACGGATTTACCTACAGAACCGTATGAAAACCTTGAGTGTACATTAATCACTGACCAAAACAATGAGGTAAAAATACCTTGGTGACCGCCCAAGTGTCAGGGACGTAGAGGGACGCCCTCAGGAGCCCCCCCCCCCCCGATTACACTACCGCATAGACGCCGAGTACGGCCCCTGGCTCCTTATAAATTACAGGCGCCAAATAGCATCCTGTTAACCATGATTGCTTCATTCGCTAAATTTACACAAATGAACAGGATTTTTTATTTAACACGTAAAAAAATTATTGGACGTGTTTTAAACATCAGTGTGACTGACGCAATATGTTAGCGTTACTAATGGTCTATTATTAGATGCTCGATCTTTAATTTTGAATGGATTGTCTAAAAATAGATGCTAAATGCATCATTCGCAAAGTGACGAAACTGTTTGGATTTTTTTACACACTAAAAAGAAACATCCCAGTTAATAATCTAACCTTGGTTAAGTTTTCTGATAAAACGTATTACATGACCCTCAGCGGAACATGTGAGACTTTAGGAGCAAAACAGCAGGAAACGCCTGATTCATTGAGTGAGCGTTTGTAACGCCCCATCCTATCCATTGTTTATCCGACTTTATTCTCCGCGACTCTACCTGATTTGAAATGCAGACATTATCAGAATTATCTTCACTGTTGTGACGCATGTAACATGCAATGTAACCAGGTCGTAGGTTATCTAAGCCAGTGGCCAGTCAGAACGGTCTAATCAACAATGTGAAGATCAGTTGTAGTCATTCATGGCTAGAGACGGCAACGTGGCTCTCTCTCTCTCTCTCTCTGTCCGCAATACTTTTTGGCAACGTGACCAGTATGTTCAGCGATATATGGAAAACTTAGAGATAAGGACTTTGTTTGAAAATGATACGGTGGGAGTTTTAAATATATTTACTAAATTTTATTTAGTAAAGAAAAGAAAGAAAATATAAATAAAGCAATATTCGAATGTAGAAAGACATTTTTAATTATGCATCCGGAAAAGTGTTTATGGTTTTGACAAAAAAGCAATAAACAATGACGTCACATGCCTCATGTTTAAGCTAGGGCAAGAACATACAAATAATAGCGTCATCTTCCAATTTTAGAATAAGAAAAAATGAAATATTCATTCATATTTGATTTATATCTACTTGTCAAGACGTACACTATGAAATTATACAATTTTCTCGGTTAAACTAACACAAATTACTTTTTAAAAAAAACAATTGCCATTGAACCGCCAGGTTTTTAACGAAATCATTTCAGTCTCTTAATCGGTGTGAATATAATATGGTGTTGTGTTGACTAATAATGTACATTATTTGGTTTTAATTTTTCTAATAGGTATTAGAAACCTACGTTATATTAAATGTGTTATTTTGTTATTTCTTTGCTTTGTCACTAATATCGTTAAAGTGTAGTAAAGCACATTGCATATTGACCCATAACTATTTTATATAAAATTCTTTCTCAAACAAGTATAGCATTGAAATATATAGACTTATAATTCACGTTTAACGGGTACCGACGGCTAGTAAAAAAAAGGCATTGTGTCAAGTTACTATCGCTTGTTTTGTTGTGAGGTGACTTTTAACAAAAATGGTATTCTTAAAACGGTAGTGGATCACGTCAGGTTAAAATTGACCGTCTCACAGAAACCCTAACATATAGAGTGAAGATGATTTGATAAATGAATATAGATCTAAATCTGTAGTATCTTTAAATAAAAGATTTTTAGCTGTATACAGTTATGACTTTTGCCAGGAACACTGACTCGTTAATTTAAGTTTTTCTGTGTGGCGATTTGCGTGAGTGATGTCCCATTTTAACATCCATGGCCCAACTAGGGTGGTGTCAAACGCATATTTATCTTCTTCGTCCTAAAATACAGGAAATTTAAAATGATTGTTAAAATGGGGTATAAAACAATGTCGTACATGATCTTAAATCACATTTTTTTTCTATGCAAAAGAAGCATTACAAAAATATATAAAACATTTTAAAAATCAGGTACACAAAATGTAATGTTTATGTTTTTGAGTAAACTTAGTCTAACTTAACAGATGAAAATAATATGAGACTCATGGAAACAACATCCGAGCTTCTTCGACAAGATATAATTAATACAAGCAAATTTTTTTCTTTAAAAAGTAGACCAATTTTATTTGATAAGAGTTTAGAGATAAGAGCCATTTGTATGTATACCTTTAAGAAAACCTTGGATTTATCAGATAAGAGACAATGTACTTATAGGCCTACTTTGCAGACTCAGAAAAACTTACAAAACAGAATAAAAGTACATTTATACCTTGCAGTTTTTGTCAGTCTCAGAATGTCTATCCACTTTGTTGAAAGCTTCCCAGTCTATTTTCTCCACGGGAGTTTTCTCCGACCTCATCAAGACACTCTGCTTTAACCCATAGAAGCCCACGGGTTTCTCTGGCGAATGCCAGCGGAGGTCCATGCTCCAACGGATGACGTCAGAACGATTGTTAAGGCTGAAGAAAGGATACATATATATTTTGTTTTACAAGATAAATTGTTCTATAGTAGACTTTACAATTATTTAACTGAGGTTTATTTATTTTAGTCGACATTTGGCAATATTTAAAAACAAATTTTATCTAAATTACTACTGTTTTTCGTGTTAAAATGTTTTATACACTAAATCCGGTTTTTAATTTTATATTACCAGAAAAATGAGTAATAATAAGACAAGAATATATATATATACATATACATATATATATATATATATATATATATATATATATATATATATATATATATATATATATATATATATATATATATATATATATATATATATATATATATATATATATATATATATATATATATATATATATATATATATACATATAAAGAAAGAAGTATGTTTTGTATATACTTACGAGAATACAAAAACTGAACATTGTTTTTAAAAAAAGAAAACATACCTTCTATGTGGTATCATATTATTTATGAGCAGCATTCCACCATAAGGTACTGGGCACAGCACTTTGTCCTTCACAAAATCAACATCTAACAAAAAAAAAAAAAAAAAACGTTTCCATTAAAGTTACTAGCAAGCATATATGTTTGCAATCAATATAAACCTGATATCAATAAAAATTGTTTATAAATGTTTTTGAAAATATAACCATGAACATTTATTTAATAAAAAGCGAATAAAGCTGACTACAGCGATTTTCAACAACCTTAAAATGGCAATTAATAAGCGACATGGTGTACCTTTTTAATTCACGTTATTGTATTCACGATTTTGTCAACGCATACAGTACGAATGCTATTTCTGATTCAACTTATGGATACCAACTCTTTATTTTCATTTAACTGGGTAACAATTGGTTAAAAAGACATACGTGATGAGGAGTTGTGCCTAATGATAAAAAAAACATGCAAATCATAAGCAGCTACTAAATACGATTTCAAAGCCCTTTGCTAAGCAAGATAGCCCAATTATGATCGCACTTTTAGTGGAGGAGACTGGGAGAGGGGAGCGTTTGGACTTTGACTATATGTGACAATAAGGAGGGGCAGTCAGCAAATGTGGCATCAAACGTGTGTATTTTAAAATGTAAAGCGCTTTTAAAGACTGTTTTGTAAATTAATCTTCATCTCCAATCTTACTTATAATGTTGAAAAGGAATTAACTCCAACTCAATTGAGTTTTACATGTTGATCATGTTTTAGCCATACATGCCGTTGACTCATGTTTCATCTTGCTTTTCTTTTCTTTTTTTGTATTTTCTTATATAACCTTTAAATAAATTACAGAGCACACATTGTTTGATGCGGAGTTGTCTCTCCGAGATGGGTTGCTATCCCCAGCTATCGAGCCTAATATGCCTGGGAGTAAATTGATCATTATGTGTTAGGTTGACTGAGGTCAGTAAATATTTTTGAAAGAAATCGATGTCTAAAAAACAAAATAGCAATTCTGAGGACCGTACTCAACTGAGGTGTGATGTCATTATAGGTGGGTAATGTTTTGTGACGATGTGTGACTGTGCGGAAAATGAGAAAATGTGATTTTTAAAAGCGTGAAGAAATGTGTGTATAACCTCCTAGTCAGCTAAGCTGGTGTAAAAATAAAACTAACTGAGCGTTTTAGCAGCATGCTCTTCGTCTGTTTCTATATACCAAGTGTCCCTCCAGCAACCGGTGTGTCTTGCAACTTTGCCAGCCAGATGACCACCTGATATTACCTATTATAAATATTGGGCCGATAAGTAGAATTATAATCTAAATTTCTTTCTGATATTAGCAATTAGCATCCTATAAAAATGCAAATTACTTGTTAACATACTTCATAAATAGTATACTGAAAAAATAATCTTAAAAAAATATGTTAAGTGTGTTTTCTTGAAACACATGTATTTTAAAAAGTTATAACAACAAGAGTGTTAAAATAGTATTTACCTATTACAACTGTAAATTAATATTGATTTATTGAAATTATATCATTTAGTTAACAATTTTAATATGGGTGTTAATGAAGGAGACGAATTTTATTTAACGTTATTTGGTAAGAAAGACTGCTTAATCCTTTGCAAATATCTAGAACTTTGTTTGTAAATATTAGACTGTAGCATGGTATTTTAAATTTCACTAAGTTCAATGATACTTATATATTATTTCTGTTTTTAGTTCTGTTAAGTGATCAGAATCTCTATCACGAAAAGTCTATTCAACATCTAACTACAGGCCTTTTTTTTTTTTAAGATCGTTTTAGCAGGTGAAAAAAAAATAACCTCCATGCATCCATTTTCCTCGTTAGCGTCTAAAAATGGGATCCAGGCCGTTGGGTAAAGAACGTTGTAGGATTCATTGTCAAAATATGCGCTGTCTTTGAATTGAAAAAAAAAGTAATTATTATATTTTAATCATTGTCTATTATTTACAGACATAATGAAGAAGTGAAAAAAATATTTCAAATTCTACAGATATGTTCCTATTATCTGTAATTCTAGACGAAATCTTTCAAACGTTGTTGAAAGTGTATTTGTACTAACATTATCCTCACTTGGTGTAGTATGCCATCTAAACAGTTGGTTGGGAAAACGAATAGTATTTTTTTTTAATTGTAGTGATCAGTTTGTAAATATTTAATAATGTAAACGTTTAACAATTTGACTTCTTTTAAAGATGCTTGATTAAAGCGCCATAGGATGGTCTTATGTTAAATCTTGCCCTGTTTGTAATCTTTGCAAGAGTACTTACCAGGCACATCATTAAGATTGATTAATTTATTGAGATTGTTTGATACAAGCAATCGTGAATGACTGTTAAAATTTATAACATTGTATCTAAACACAGAACTTAAATACAAGTGTTTACTTGTTTTGAATGTTATTTTGTTTAAATTGTCCTTTTCAGTACACTTAAGATTATTACAAATAATGTTTTAGGCCTATATTTCTTCTTAATATTATTTCTCAAAAACCACAACATGTTTATATTACCTTGATGCCAGGGTACAGTTGTTGCGTCATTCTGAGGTGTTTTGGTTCTGAGATTCCAAACTGGGTGACCCGCAATTTCTGGTCCAATCAGCTGCTCCACCACATTCAGCAATCTCTCGTTTGCCCATAAATCACAGAATGCCTAGATAATATAATAGTTTAAGAGTATGACTATCAAAACAGGATACAAGTAACGAGATATTCAACAACAATATGTTACGTAAGTTGAGAAATACAATTTTAACCTCTGTCAAACTTCCAAGCTTATGAAGAATAATATTAGCACCAGGAAATTCTTTTTCTATGTAGAGAAGTCTCTGGAAGAAGTCATGCTCCTTGTACAAATCTGGTTGTTTGAAATGGTTTACAAAAATTGAGAATTAAATATACGTGATAATATGTATCATGCCAAATGATTAAACTTATATTACTGAAAGAAAAGTAATATAGAATAAAAATATGCCAAATAATTAAATGTGGTTTATAATCAAAACTTACTTTTGATCTTTCCTCCATCATACAACTTCTGGGCCAGGTCATCGACAAGTTTCTCTACAGAATTTCTACATGGCCCAAGTTCTTCTTCGGTAAAGAAATTAGGTACCAGCAAATACCCCTGTGTGATTAATATATTTTTGTTTTGAAAGTCTTAATACCCATTTTAAATCAAAGGCAAAATGATTCCGCGCGCTACGTACATTTTTTAAATTTTTGGTAGGCCAGTTAACTTTCATAAAACATTGCAAAAATGTACTAAAATTATGGTATATTGAAAATTAGAATTGTAGTTTTCAAAGAACTTAACTATACACTTTTTGCGTATTCACTCAATAAATTACACATACTTGCATTAATTACAGTAATAAGCCAAAAATAAATGGAACTTCAGAAGTTGTGTTTAAGCTATATGGTTCATAATGATAACTGCAGCACTATACAGTTATGTTCAAACATTGGTTTCTATTGACAATGAGCTTGATCATCTAAATCTAGACTGAATTAATTACCTACGCCATTATTTATAAATACCAAAATAAGTTCATCTTCAAACACATAAATGTTTTTAAAACAAAAGCTACGTCCAATTTTTTGGAATTAGGTTAATATTGATATTGGGTATTTACGAATGTCTCGAAGCTTGCTTACACAATTTAGTAAGGTATACCAGCTGTATGACATTTGCATTATACTATAAATTAATCGTTAAATATTATAAGTACACCAACTGAACGTTGTATCATTTGCCTGAGGAAAAAGCTTTTGTTGAGAACTGCAATAACTGATATTTCAATCGACTTCTGGGATGAAGGTGACATCAAATTTAATAATTTTCTACAGAAGCAATGCTTTATTCACTTGAATTAATGACTGTTAGAATTAGGCCCCTCAATGCTTTTTCTAGAATGAAGCACTGATCGACAAATAGGTAGAGGGGCGGGGTTGACACGAAATACACCGTCCGCTGAAGTGGATTGGGGTGAAACCACATTGGAAAGCAATGAAAAGCGAGCAACAGATAAGTAGAACTGGTTGACTTGCAACATTGACACATCTTGACGCTTTTCGTCGGCTTTGAAAAAGAGTTGCCAAACATTTGAAACAATTCACTTCTTAAATCAATTTAATCTTGAAATTTTGTTTATTATGCAATGGGATCTGTAAAACTATAATAAATTTAATAAACAAAATGTGAAAAAGAGATTCTAGCGGATACAGACGTTGCAAAAAAGTATTTGGTCACTATGTTACTCCGTTACCTATACATACAAAAAAGAAGAGAGAAGTTCAGCCGCCAGTTTGTGTAGCTTCAAAATCATTTTAAAAACATATACACATGCGTATACACATACTTACCAGGGAGGGTTGACACCAGTAGTTGCCGCTCCCGAGAGTCCATCCGCGGCAGTGATATATACGCATTATCGAGAAAGTTTAGGGGAGATCACTCCCGCTTTATTAAATATTACATTTTTAAAATAGCAATGTTTTAATAACACGCGTGTATGTTATAATGCACTAAAAATGAGAAAATGTGACTTGGACGATAGAGCAATTTAAAATTATCCTTTTCCGATTATTAAAATTATGTATCTTCAATATGATCGTGTGCTGTATTAGTGTTTGTGCCAACTTTAAATATAAATTTGAAGCTGTTCTAGTTTAATTGCTTACTAGTAAACCCACACAACAAACATAAGGGCACAGCCCTTACACGCCAGAGACTACTGCTCATTTTTTATTTCGAATTTAATGTCCGGCTGATTTTTAAAAAAATCCAAAAAGTACATTACATTTAAAATACAATCAATAACTATAACGTATTCCGTAAAGATTAGATTGGATAAAAGTAGGCCAACTGTCCAACGTGCAGATTGGTGCACTGTGGTCAAAATGCCATGGGAACTATTTATGACCTGGACGGCTGTTTATGGTGTAGTGCAAGTAGCTTCAAAGAGCTTATTGTTGCACAACGTAGTGTAAGGATAGTAGTACATTAGATAACGCTACACAAGTGTGAGCTGGGGGATGAAGACTTTTCTGATGGCATTACTATGTGGATGAGGGTGTTTTAAAAATGCGTTTTGTGTCATTTTATGGAAATAAACAACTAGCATAACACCAGTGCTGCGCTGGGTGTGTTTGGCGGTAGCACATCACTTGCCTTCAGCGCGGGTCGCGGTAGCACGTTCCTTTGCGTGCAACCCCATTGGTGTGGATATGATCAGCAACCTGCGCTGCGCACGGGTGGCGGTAGCACTTCCCTTGTGAATGCTTCGCTTTGGTGTTTAAATAATTAAACCAAACGTAAAAAAGTAACAATTATTTAAAGCCGTTCGCGAGCATTGAGATTTCCTTCTGTCCACTTTACGAGTGGGAATATTTAAAAAAAAAACAACAACTACTTATAGGGTTTCTTACCCATGCCATCTCAGTAATTATGTAACGCCCTATCATCTTGGCTTGGATATCACATATCAGTTGGTGAAAATATTGTGTAATATATAGCATAAAGTGAAGAAAATTCTTTAGACCTAGCAATTCATTGGGCAAACGAAGTAGAGTTCATTTCTTTCTTGACCACGGCATATGTATGGCAAGTATTGTCAGCTTTTCGCCAAGCCGTCTTTACTTTCACTAACATGAGTTAGGTACCTACCACAGCTGGGTGGACTCAGGAATGGACTGTCTATCGAATGGGACCCGGATTAGAGATCGGGTTACGGGTCTACTTGTGATTCTGGGTTGATCATCGCGTTATTACCGTCTGGTGCTGTGTCACCCACATCCACATCAGTCAAGTCCAGATGTGGGGTTTGCCTGACAAGTTCCTGTTTCTGTATTTCACTGGCGACCACCTCTGGCGCGAATGGCGTCGCCTCCGAACGTAGTCGGGTTGGGATCACCTGGAAGTTCAGTTCGTCACCTTACCCGTCTGTTTCAATGGCTGATGACCTCTCTCTCCGCCGCCGCTTTTCCTTTGCAAGTATTTTGCCTTTATCCATACCTAGCACTCCAACTGAAAAGAGTTCCGGTGCAATGTCCGAAATTTGCCATTTTCCTATCTCCTCCAGCACGGTGTACACTGGCACGTCCTCTGCCCTATCCACCACCACATAGATTTTGGCCTCCCACTTGTCGCTGATTTAGGAAGTGACCGTAGGGCCCAATCGGCGTAATAACCACCGATGTTTTTGGCTGCTCGTTCAGTAGGCCGACTTCAGTTGTGTTTTTAGGCTTTGTATGCATTTAGTCGGTGTTTCTTATTTCCTCCTTCCCACATCGACACCGAAAACTAAATCGATGGACAGCCTAAGATAACGACCGAAGAAAAGAAAATATGGGATGTAGACTGTACTTGAATGAATACAGCCATTGGCATAGCGACCCCTCCCTTCTCCCGGGGACAATTTTTCAATTAATCGCCCCCCATATATTTTTATGTTTATAATTCAAAACTGCAGCTAAAATGAGCTTTTAATTTTTTTTCCACTCCATTTTGGCGCCCCTAGGATCGGCGCCCTAGGTCATATGTACCTTCTCTACGCCTCTGAATGCAGCTATTGTACGCATGTACTAAAGCATGTACATTTTTTTCTTCAAGTCGCCTTCTCGTCCTCTTCGAGGATCATATTCACTAATGCCCTATTCCACCGTTCGACTGGTTACCGGCGGAGTGTTAAGGTGTTGTCCGACACCTGCGGATACCCGCAATATCACAGCGGTTTTCACGATTTTAGATTATCTTCGGGCAATACTTTTAGCTGTCTGTTCTTTATTACTTAAAATTTGTGAAATGATCTAGAATCACCAGAACATTTTGTTTTTAACCTTTTTCTTCAATTAATTATCTATTGACAGCAGTTTTAAGGGGAAATATGTTTTTATTGTCTGCATGGTGTACCCTTTCTGAGATATCTCCCACATTTCTTTATTTTCCTTTCAAGGTTTCGAAACATATGCGGCCAGCAAAAACGCATTCGAACATGATAAATAGCATCATCTAGATGGGTGTGAAATAGATCTTCATATACACCTTGCATTGCTTCTTTCGGATGTGACGAAGTGATAGCTAGTTGAAATCTACTTCCTAACTCAGCATCTGACATTTTGCGATATAGAAATTCATCTTTAATTACGAGTTTCTTTTACGTCCTGACTAATGCTTTCTCCTCTAGTGTACTGTCTGTTTACATTTTTAGCTTGCCTCTATTTTTATACGACTAATGACCGACGAAATGGTAGTATCGTCAACTGATGATTCCTCCATTTTACTTTCTCGTATATACGAAGTATAGAGAAAGTCTTGTAATCGTGCAAAACAAAATCGAGATTTTTACAAATCTCGACGTTTTACACCTCACTGATACGGAAAAACATAATTTTGCAATCTTGTCCGTATGTCTGTGTGTCTGTGTGTCTGTGTGTCTGTCCGTGTGTGAACACGATAACTTGAGTACCGTTACAGCTAGGTTGATGAAATTTCATATATAAGTATCATATCAAAATCGTAGATCCGTATCAGCTTTTGAGCGATTTCCGATAACCGGAAGTGGTACTTTTCCTACTTTGAATTTTTCAAAAGCCTATAACTTGAGTACTATTTTAGATAGATAAATGAAATTTCACATGTAAGTAGAAGATCTAACTCTCTACCTTCTGTTAAATTTTGAGTAATTTCCGTTGACCGGAAGTAGTAATTTACGCTACTTCTGATTTCTCAAAAAACTAATGTAAATTATAAAAGTACTAATAATATTTCGCACTATTATGCGCTTTTTTATTTGGCGTTCACTTGGTGAGCAATTAATTTCTCTACGAGATTTTATTCTATTTTTAAAACTTTAAGTATTTAAAATGGATTAAAAATCATGTCTAAAGCCCGAGTTCCCATCCCCTGTTATTTTATATAAGAATATTCTAGAAAGTTTAGGGGAGATCACTCCCGGTTTATTTTAAATACAGTTGGAGTGATAAGTCCCATTTGACTGTTCTAAGATATCATATCTGATAGCTGACGGATCCTTTACCACCTGATCGACCGCCTGTATTTACGTGATATCTTCCCAGTGAGTTCTCATATGCGCTACGATAATCGGTTGGGTGTTATCGCCTACCGTGGCTGCAATTATGGCTGATACAAGATGTGTGCTATGCGAGTCGACTCGGCGGCTTGCGACTCAAACTTCTCCACCTCTTCACTCGATAATTTGGTATCTTTGCCGGCTCGTCCTGGTGTCGTCTGGACAATAAATCGGCATCTACGCGAGTAGACCATTTTTTGAACTGTAGGTCAAAGTCATAGATTGACAGAGACGCCAGCCAGCGATGACTTGTAGCATCCAGTTTGGCATACCGGTGAATGTAGCACAGTGGATCATTGTCTGTGACCACCTTGATGTTTGAGTCGACGATATATTTACGGACCTTCTCTGTCATCGCCCACTTAAGAGCTAGAAATTCTCGTTTGTGGGCCGGGTAATTGAGTTCTGTTTTGTTCAGGGATCGACTGGCACAAGCAATAACTCGTGACGTGCCGTCTTGCTCTTGATACAGTATGGCACCTTTTCCTGTACCACTGGCTTCGCAGTGCAGAGTAAAAGGCTTTTCCCTGTCGGCAATAGCCACAATAGGCTCTTCCGTCAATGCTTTAACTACAGCCTCAAATGCCGTCTATTGAGTCTCACCTGTCCTATTTGTTGTTCATTTTGACATGTACCCTACAGTTAGATCATGTGATGGCCTAGAAATTTGGGCTAAATTTGGAATAAATCGCAAAGCCAATAAAAGATTTGACATCCCGGACAGATCTCGGCACTAGCCAGTTGATTAGCGTGTTGATATGTTTGGGTTCTGACTTGATTCCCTTATCTGTGATCACGTACCCCAGATGCCGAACTTCAAATGTCCCACATACACATATGACAGGATCTGACTTCAGGCTGTACCTCACTAGCCGGTGTAATGCCTGGATTGTCCGTTCCACTGACTCCTCTAAAGTTCTATCATGCACCAAGATGCCATCTAAGAACACAATCAGTTCTGTCACATTCAGGTCAGCAAATGGTTTCTCCAGTAGCCTCTGAAGTGTAGGAGGAACGTTCTTCAATCCCACGGGCATTTGTTTGAATTGATACAATCCAAATAGTGAGGTAAATGCAAAAGGACAGGATCCTAATTTTCAGCCGCCATTAGTGTTTTGTCAGGTAAACTTTATATGATGGGGTATCTGGCCTTTTTAACGGGGTTATTTTGACAACTCCTCAAGACGTCGTAGGTAAATAACAAATAAAACAGCCCTCCTGCTTTTTAGATCAATGTCACACGACCGTCTAGTTTATTCTCAAAATTATAAACACGAGACCTATTTGCAATGGCTTTAACTACATAAACACATATATTTTGTTAGAATATTCTATTTAAGTTTCTTTC